CCAATTCCCCAATAAAAATCTTAAAAAAAAAAAAGCATGCTTATACGTTATTTTCATTCATTTTCAATTTAAATAAATAAATGTCATACATGCATCTAGTAGATGCATTGTGCCCAAACTCGTAACTTTTGCACTGCGCCCAACCGTGGGTTACATAAGTATTACTTTTCTTATAAAAAAGATTTCAAAAGGATATTGTGCTTTTCTGGACCATAACTATGTGATGTTCTTGCTAGCTGTATAGTATTAAATCAGGCATATGATAAAAATAAGAATTAAAGAACAAGAAGACTTAGTGGTGAAAGGTGGATGCTGTAGTAAGTGACCCAATTTCACAGAACAACAAAAGAACCAATAACACCTTGATTTTTCTGTACCAGTGAAGATGATCTGACTCAATTAAAATGTGTTTGGGGAAAATGTACAAAAATATGGAAAATTCAAATTCAAGGACGAATTCAGACTATAGATAGTTTACCTGCCTTCAACCCCATAGAGCAAGAAGCAAAGAAAACCATTAAAACCTAACTTAAAAAGCATCAATTATAACTGAATTTCTTCAGGTTTTTTTTTCCAGACTTATAAAATAAATTAAAAACACAGCCATAAAATTAAAGGTAAGATGGTCTAAGTTTTACTTCTATCTCTTTGCCCATGGGAAGACAAGCATCTTACCATAAATATATTTAGATGTATGAAAGTTTTGTAAAACTGAATTAAAACAAAAACAAAAACAAAAACATAACGGCTCTAATTAGAATTTGAACTACTCCGAGGCTGAGGAAAAGTCAGACTGAATTATATAACACTAAGTCAATGTGACTTTTAATTACATTTTACATTTAATTACAATGTGACCTTGACAAATAAGTAACACAACATTGCCAAACCTGCTTTTAATAGTCTGTTCCTGTGAAATCGATGCTGTGATGTCGCCAGAAAGTTTGTCTTCACTGGGTTCACCATGGTCCCCGCCATCTTTCCTACTGTACTAGTGCGTTACTGTAACTGGCATATCCAAAGGTGCATGACACAAAGGTGGCTTACCTTGTGTTCAAATCCTATGGATTCCAGTTTTAACACTTATTTGTAAAAGGACACTTATTGAATTAGGACCAATACTTCACTTCTAAACACCTTTACTCACTCATTGCTTGGTCTCAGCAGCAGCCCCACAGTATGGATAGGTATGCAGAGAAGCAGAAGGAGGGGGAAGGAGGTGTCTCTGTGAACTATTTTGTTTCATTTCATCTTTCAACAAAAAAGCCCCCAAGGTGATCAAGTCATCGGCCCATAAGCACCCCCCACCACCACCAAGGCCGCGGAGCGTGCCTGCTCCTCTCCCTCCTGTCCGCACACACCTCTCGCACAGCTGTTCTGTGACCTGGTTTCCTCGGCAGGGGCACCCTGGACTTGGAGAGGAGGGCATGAGGAGAGGAAGGGGAGCAAAGCGAAGGAGACGAATGAAAGGACCAGAATCTAGAGACTCCAGCTTCCCCAAACCTCACTTCTTAGTGAGGCTTTTAAATTCAAATGTAGCGAGACTTCAACATGAAAGGGATGATTAGTGGAATGATTTTAAATGCTTTCACTGACTCCATGGAAATTTGCCATGAAGAAAACATCTTATAAATAGCTTTGTAAAAGAGAAACGGGACATGCAAACAACTCACCCAAGTATGTCTATAAACTTGATGAATGAATGTAAAATTAGGTTAAGTGTTCAATTTATGTTTGCTGTAACTAGCACACCAGCTTTAAATGAGGCAAATTTATGATATAGGATAGCTCTATTTTCACATGCATGCTGTTTATATAACTCCTGATCTCTACCCTTTCCATACAATTAATATCCATAATTTGTTTATACACACTTTGTAGGAATAAAAAAAAAAAGACAGAGAAAAAAACCCAATTAGGGTTGATGGTTCAATTCTAGTCTTGGTTCTTTAACTCTTTTCGTGGTCTGAGTAAGCCACCTCTCTTGAGGGTCTGTTGTTGACTTGAAAATGAACAGGTGGCACTCAGAATTGAAAGCATCAACTATCAACAGCACCATTCTCATATTTTACAGACAAGGAAATGGAGGCCCAGAGTCACCAAGGTGATAGAAGTAGCCTACAGGTCACAATCCTGTTTTTCAGTGATTTAACAGTAAAACATTTTTCAGTACAACTTTGTTTGAAAGCCTCTCTAGAAACACTTAAAGAAAGGTAGCATTGCTTTAGGTGAAGCGACTTTTGGTGGTGTGGGAAACCTTGCCTCCCTAGTCCACCCCCCGGAGCCCGGAGGGATAGGGTGCAAAGGAGAGTTTCCAAACCACTGGACTAGAAACGCTCTTTCAGGTTTCGTCTATTGCTAAAATTCTGCTTCCAGGAGCACAGTTTCACGATTTTAAATATTCATATAAGTTTGATGTTGAGCCTTTGATTTTAAAATATAGTATTATATGAGTTGTAGTTGATGAGAAATCCTCCATTGTGGTACTTTTCCTTAAGGATAAAATATTCCTCGGCATTAAGATACAGTTTCTAGAAATATATTAAATAGCGAAAGCCTTCACTGTGATTCATCATTTGTTGCTGGATTCTAAATGTGCCGATTAACAACAACAAAGAGTTATGGACACCCCTCAGAGCAAGTCGCTGTGCGCCAGACGCCCCGGGGATACAAAGCTGAGCAGGCGCAAGGAGCTCATAACCCAATGGGGAAAGGCATGGATCATGTTATGACCAAGGTAAAAGGAAATGTGTAGGAAAGAAAGAACAGAAGCCTTGAAGTGTAACTGGAGAAGTCACAAAGGAGGGAGCATTTAGTTAGAGCTTAAGGGATATATTGAAATTCTGGTAATTGGAACAGCACCCCAAACTACACTGTTAGAGAGGAGAGGGTGAGCAAAGGATTGTGGGATATGTCTGCAGGGCAGCATACTCGGGAGGGTGTTTCGGAGGACGAGGAAAAATAGGTCAATACTTCTATTCAATCTTTGAGGGTTGGCATCTAGAAAAACTCACAAGATCTGGACTGCATAGACAAATGTAGAGTCAACTAAGATGGCTGAGCTGCTAAGTTATGTGACTTGATTTCTATTTTAGGAAGGTATCTCCAGTAGGCAGGTAAAAGGTACTCTAAAGACTTGAGAATGGAAGCATGGAGATTGCTGTAGGCAGGGAATGGGGGCTGTCCCATAGCAATAGCCTTCGCAAGCTCTCCTCACCCCCCCAGTTCACCAAACACCCTGGCATCCCATGCTGCCTCTACCCTTTGTCCTCTTCATTCCTGACACTCCTCTATTCCCATGGATTCAACTGGCACGTTTATTCTAATGACTTCCATCCAAATCCACACCCTGAACTAAGATCTCAAGTCTTCTTCAGAATGATATGGCAATCGTTAGTTTTCATCAAATCTTGTAAACACAGCACTTTTTCTGAAAACACACGTGGATCCATAAATGTTCATCAAAATGAACTTGCAAGTCTGAGTTTTCAAGTTTCTCCTGAGTGTCATAGATGCTATCAAGATATCTGAAACTGGCTGTTGTACAGATAATGCACACTTCACACGTCTCCAAACTGAAGTTCTTATATTCCTATACATGTTCGAATTAGACACCTAGACTT